TCTGTCATCCTTCACCCTCCTCCCCTTCCAGGATTGACCTGGGACAGGAAGGCATAGCCATCCTGAGTTATAACTAACAAATGTTAGTTTCCTGAGGAAAATTATTATAAGGATTAGTAACAACTAATACATCCCATTGCTTAGCAACTGGCTCTCATCTTCTCGGAAAAGAAGCTTTTTGCTGCTACTCAGACCTTTTTATTTCCTTCTCTGATACTAAAAATCTTTATTTAACCTGGGAACAGAGGTGGAAAAATTTCTACTTGCCCTCAAAATTTATATTTTATATTCTGATGTAGGCATTTGAACTTTGAAAGTCAGTAATCCTATGTTGTTGTTGCAGTCGCCCCCTGCACGCTGTGTATCACTCTTCCCTGAAGCAGTGGAAGCTGCAGGTCTGGCTGCCCAGATGTTTGGGATAGGTGGGAGTGGTAGAGTGTGGAAGGGTAAAGCAATTTGCAGAGAAATAAAGAGAGAAATTTGCCTACTCGATCTACCAAGAAAAGACAAGTCGTGGAAGCCAACAAAACTTGGCTTAAACAGCAGTAAAGATATTAGCTTGAACCACATAAAGTTATCCATATGCTACCATTTTTACCTTATAAAAACCAATTTCATATGATTCAACCTAATAAAAGTGTTATGTTATGAGGCAGTTCATCTCACATAATCTATTCTCTCTTCAGCAGAAATCAAAGACCATTCTGAATTTATATTTCCATATTAAGGAGGAATATAATTTCCTTCATAATGCCATCCTAAGAGACTAGGGTTGTCAACTGTCCATCATCAAAGAGTTTTTCCATTTCATTATAATGTAAAGGCTATTTGGGCAGACTGTGAATGCCTAGGGAGTGGTACATACAGTATACTTTGAGGTGTAAGAGTATACACATTGAAGCCAGATGGCCTGGATTCTAATGCCCAATCCACAATCCACTATTTGCCATCTGTATGACCTTTGCATGCCCCAATTTTTAAAAAATCTATAATGCAGGGATAATCACAGTATCTATTTTATAGATTTGTTATGATAATTAATTGAGTTATTTGTAAGGCTTACAGATCAGTGCTTAGTATATTCTGCGACAAATGAGTATTTATTATAATTGTTGTTATTATTATTCTAATATATTATGGGTTGAATGATGCCCTCCATCCTATATTCATATGTCAAAGGCAAATCTATAGAGACAGAAAACAGACTAGTGGTTGCCTGGGACTCAGGGAGGGTGGAGAGTGGAAGTGGGTATGTGGGATATTATGGGAGTGATGGGCATGTTCTAAGATTGGATTGTGATGATGATTGCACAAATACTATATATTTACACATAAAATCTCAATTTTTACAAGAAAGATGAATGGTTTTATGGTATGTAAACAACTCCTCATGAAAGCTATTAAAAATGACTTATTGATAATTTTTAATTCAAATATATAGAGATACTATTTGCATTTTCATAGCCAATATCATGGAGCTGTAAACATGTAAGGCAAATAGAGAAGCTTAGCACTGTGGAAAAAGCTGTTGCCACAGCACAGCTAATTAACATCTTTAACATCCCATTTTCTTTCTATTAGCCAAACCACCTCTGGACATCTCACCATAGAAACATTCCTACTCTTTAATTATGTGTGTTAGTTTATTGTGTTTTATAGTTTTCATCTAAGGAAAATCTGATTGATCCCACTATGGGACTGATTGCCTAATATCCAGACAGCATTTGCTGTATTTTATGTTCAGGATACTGCCACTTGAGAAAGGATTATTTACTGTGACAAATCTTAAATGGGAAATGAAGCAAAATTAACTAGTAAAACATTTTCTGTGCCAGAGTCATATGTGCATTACAAGAAGGAAAAACAAACTTCCCTTGAGAGTGGTTTTAATTATTCACAGTCTCTGACGTGATTTCAATATAACCCAACACAAATGCTGCCTGATTTTTCTTTGCCAATTTTGGTGAGTATTACAACAATCCACTCCACTTTTCAGGGAAGAATGCTTTCCCTTTCCAAACCTCATGGAGTCCACACTCAAAGCATTCTGACTCCCCATGACAACGATGTCAACTGAACAGAAACTTAAATTAGTTGAGGCAGTTTCCTACGAATCCCTGCAAGCCCCTTTGGATCCTTTCTTGGAACAAACTTTTAACCCATTTATGGGACCAGATAAACCCACTCTAAATCCCCGGGCTCATGGACTGCTGGCCACCTATATTTGAAGTTCTTACTGCTTCTCTAACAAAACGCAAAGTCTCACATGACCTTCTCAATATTATCTTGCAAATATTTTTATTTTTTTATTTTTGAGATGGATTCTCGCTCTGTCGCCCAGACTAGAGTGCAGTGGCACAATCTTGACTCACTGCAACCTCCACCTCCTGGATTCAACCTATTCTCCTGCCTCAGTCTCCCAAGTAGCTGGGATTACAGGTGTGTGCTACCACGCCCAGATAATTTTTGTATTTTTAGTAGAGACAGGATTTCACTATGTTGGCCAGGCCGGTCTCAAACCCTGGCCTCATGTGATCCCCCTACCCAGGCCTCCTGAAGTGCTGGAATTACAGGTGTGAGTCCCCACGCCTGGCCACTTGCATAATTATTTTTTAATTGCTCTCTGGAGTTCAGTGTTCTCTCACCTGCTAATACTCACTCAGGACTCATTTCTACCAATGAGTCTTGGCTTTCTTAAGGAAAGAGACCGTGTCTTTATTCATCTTCAAATAGACAGCACATAAAACTGTTAAATGCTGCCCATTTTCCAAGGACCTTTCCAATGCTACCTCATCAGTAATACACTTCTGATACCCACAAACAAATCTAGTTACTTATTCCTTTTATATCCTCTATAGATTGTACAACCTTGATTACCTTTATTATGTTCTCTTTCTAGTAATTTGATTACTCTTCTTATTACTGATTATACTGTAAGCTTGTGAAAATATGCGACATATTATACTATCTGTGTTCACTGTTCTGTCCCAACCCTCAATCCCACTCAAAATCATTCTCAGAAAGTACTTGCTTGATAATGTCAATTAAATCAAATAATAATGGTTCTGCCATCCTTACTTATAATTAACAACATTCAAGTATATTATATCAATTCGAATGGCAGAAATAATGAACAAACAAGATTTTTCTGGTTTATTTAAGGAGCAAGAAATGTTTGTAGTCAATGAAAATAACTTCTCTGTGAAAATTTTGAAGGGGCTAACTCTCTCTGCCAATGTTCCTTTGCCAATATATCTATAAACTTTCCCATCTTTCATGTTTTTCAAGTCCCCATCAGTATCTGGGGTGATTTTTATATCACTCTACCTTCTGATACACAAAGCAGTGTGGTATAGGAAGTAAGATATGTGCTTTTAAGTCACATAGTCCCAATCCCAAATTACACAGCTCAGGAAGACCTAAGTATGCTCCTTACCCCATCTGAAGTTTAGGTTCCTTTTCTCTAATATAAAGACCGAAATAACAACTTCATTTGGTTGTTGTGAAGATTACATGAGAAAATGTGTTTAAGGCACTCTTTACAATGCTTGTCGTATTAAAGATATTTTAAAAAGTTACATTAAAAGTATTGATTCAATTAAACAAATATTTATTAAGTACCCACTGACAGCCATGCACTAATTTGTTCCAAGGACCCAATAATGATCAAGACAGACACAAGGCCTATTCTCAAATTGCTTAGAGTCCAGTGAAGGCGACAGACAATTCAGCATGCAAATGTAGTACCTGGTGATAAGCACAGTAATGCAAAAATAAAGACAAGAGTGTCTTTATTAATGCAAAAATAAAGACAAGGGTACAAATGACGAGCACCCATAAAATCAGAAGATTCATTCTTCCAATAATTTCAAATCGCTGCCTAAATTCAAAAACTCAGTATATACAAACTGTGGTCATTATTAACAATAAAATATATTGGATGATTCAGTGATGAAGGAACAATGCAAGGTACCAGCTACCATATAATCACCTTACAGAATTATCATGCCTTTTAGGCTATACCACATTCTAGAATCCACAAGCACAGTCTTATAGAGAAACAGCAATCAAATCTACAAACAAATATCTATCCTTTGGATATATAGGAAAATCTCAAGATAAAAACATACTCAATACACAGGTCATGCATTTGCATATTTCTCTACTTTAACAGCAACTGAAAATTCAGTGTGAAGAGACAGGAACTAAAAAGTAGTTTCTGCAAAGCAGATGCCCTTGTTGTGCTTCTAAAGCCTGGTTTCTATATTTTTTAAATAGCATGCTAATTTTAAAAGACAAAATAATAAAAGACATACAGGGTTGTGAATGGAAAAGTTTAAAAACTCACAAGGCCAATTTCTCGTTATAAGAGGTCCCTGGGGAGAGATAAGAAACTGGTATTTCACTTGTCAAACAGGAACTTGTGTGCTATTTTATACTTTGCTTTGCTTACAGCAACCTTAGCAGACCACGAATGTTATAGAGGAAGAATATTATAGGGGAAGAGTTTAGGTAAATTAAGTCTAATAGCTTTGCTGCTTAACGTAAATGAGAAGCAGTTGACAGTAGGGCCCTGAGTTCATTTCAGAGGATATTCTCTCTGTCTCTGAACAGGGTTGGCAAAGAGCTGCAGGATAAAGGGTACTCCAGGCTACAGCACTTTCCCCCGACAGGCATCCACCACACTCCTTGGACTTCCACTCTGCTCTTCTCTGCTCCCAGCAGAGGGGTCAATGTATATGTTCTGAATTTTGCTTGCCTTTAGCCGGAATATCCCATGACTTGGGCAAGTGTAACCTAGAAAAACCTTTTATTTCCCTTAGGTGTTCTTCCATTTCTAGTCAGCTCTGCTTAAGTTGATTTCAAATACTGTCCTTTCTTATAATCAAAATATTTTGCTCGGGTATGTCTCCCGGATAGTCGACAAATATGTATGTCACTATTATATTTCTACAAAAATGGTACCTTCCTAGCTCTTATTAATTCCCCATTCCTCTCACCTGGATTCTTTGTAAGAGTGGGTATACTCTCCAACTGTGAGATTAATCATGAGGAGGAAATTAAGTCTTCTATGTCATCAACTGGAAAAAAAAAGATAAAATTAAAAGAAAAATCTCTCATTTTAGTTCGCTCATTTTCCTCCGCTTATTCACAGCTGTAGTGTATATATATATAATTATAAATTATCTGTAATGTACCAATATAGGACCAGCTATGATTGGGTTCATAATGATTCCTAATAACAAAACCTAAATGTTGTAAGCGAAATATCTTTGTAATTAGTGCCCTAGTTTTTGCTCCGTGAGGATAAATTGGGACAGCATCCACTAATGTTCTGGAGTCTGTTCAGAGATGAATAGTTGCCAAAAACTACTGGAAGGTTGAAGACTTCCTAAAGTTTATCTAATTTAGGGCCATGTGACATTAAGTCTCAATTTCCTCTTCTGAAAATTGAAGATAATAGAATCCGCCTCTCGAGGACATTAAAAAGATTAGGTAAATTTCCTAGCTCATTGCGCCCATTTCATGCTCTATGGAAATGGTAGTTATTATTATTATTACTTTGATTAATAAATACTTCATAATAGTGTTGGGTACGTCTATAGACACAAAATGAAACGAAACTCTTCAAATATAGCCATAAGGAAACTGTGTGATAGCAGACCTGTGACCCGGCAGCTGACAGACGTGGTCACTAGATAGGTCTCTACATACTTGGCTGTGAAACCTGGCCCACTCACAACCCTTCTCTCTTTCAATTTTGTCATTTGAAAATTTAAGGAGTCAACCTAAATTGTTTTCAATGCTCCCAGAGCTTACAAACTATCGTTTTAATGAATCCTCTAGGTTAAACAGTACCCATCTGCAATATCTGAGAGACCTAATGTCTTGTGTCTGAACCCATCCTTAATTTTGTCAGGAAATAAATATAACTAGATAATATACTAGAGCTTTTCTGGGGAGGAGGAGCTACTATATTTATTTCTCTAGAGAACTTCCAACCAGAACACTTGAACTCCTAAACTCTAAACTATATCTTCCTAGGCAACTCTACAGGACTCCAAATTCACTTATTTCTGTTGAAAGAATAGGCTACTGTACCAACTGATAAAGAGCCTATCTAGGGACCCAGAGAGCACTTGACAGATACTATCACATTAAAAGCTGTTTCTTAATTAGAGGAAAGCTAGTATGGAAAATCATTCTGATAACTAATCTGGAACACTGACAGTTAAGTGACTTTGTCTTCAGTGCCAGTGAACAAGGACAATGCAACTCTCTAAATTCTATTTACTCATCAAACCTCCTAATTAGATCAACTGCAATTGCCCAAGCAACTTTAATGACCCTTGTTAGAGATTTCTCACCCAGCTGCTACTGCTATCCAGTAGGCTTCTGAGACCCTAGCCCTGACTCTGCCTCCCCTACACGACCTCATTACTCCTGCCCTGTGAATCTCAACACTGTCCTTTACTCACCCAGGAACATCACCATCAGCAACAATGTCAATCCTCTCCACTCACTGCAACTTCACAGCCAAATGCCCTCATTACAGTTTATCCAACTTTTAGGAGTATTATTTGAATGCATCTCCTCTAAACCCTTTGATAGAGAATACAGTTTTCCACAACCCAAATTAAAATGTACACAGAATTTGTCTTCTGGTATCTATCCCTTAGTTTTATATCCCCTTCCAGCAAAACTAGCTAAATAATTTGTGATGCCCAATGTAAAATGAAAATGAAAGGTCCTTTGTTTCAAAATCAAGAATATTAAGACAGTGACAACAGGGCCCTAAAACCAAATTCTGGCCCTGTGTTAGCGTGGGACGTGTCACATGCACATGAAGCTACACCAGTCTCTCTTATTCCTGAGTTCTCAACCCTTCTAAACATGTGTACCATGGTGTCTTCATCAACCAGGAAGTGTTTCCTCTCTCCCCACAGCAACCTCCCTTGGCTTCATTGGTTTACATCATGGGCTGTTGCCATTTGATAGTCTCATGTCTCAACCTCTCAGAGACCAAGCTACCTACTAATTAATTCACTAGACTGATTGTACCTGGAAGGTCTTCTGATCCTCACATCCCCATTTCAAGTATGGCCTCCAAAATCTCTGTTGCATTTTTATTGACTAATCCATCACCTATTGGCCAAGGGAATTCCTGTGTGTGTGGACCGTGTGAATCTCAGTATCTTCAAATAATTTTGCATGCGATCCACCTAAGAATAAAGCTTGACCCTGGGCAAGGTCTTCTCAACAGTAATCAGTTTATTTTTTCTAGAATGACAGATAAAACATTTTATTTCCCATTATCAAGGCCCAATAAAACATCTGTAGGCTAAGAGTAGCTATGCCAATTAGCAGAAGCGACAGCCTGAGTCAATGAACTGTAGCCTAAAAATGAAGCCACGGTCCCTTTGGAACACTGCTTGACTTGGAACAGATCTAAGTGGCATATTCCTTAGTTACTACTGTTTCACAACACTTTTTTGACCCCGTTTTCTTAGGCATGTTTGATTCTCCAGTATATTTCTAAACATGCACATAAGCAATTTAAATGTTTTCCCGGGCCTTGGCAGAAAGTGAAAATAAAATAATAAGAAATATATTATTAAGTACATTATTGTTTATGTTATCAGATATAACAAGTGTTTTGAGCTGCTAGAGTTCTTTGTTTAGAAACACTTGGGTGTTTTTTAAGTGTCATCAAATTCAATATGCATAAAATTCATAAAGCAAATTCATAAAATGTATAAAGCCAATGTATTTTGCTTTATGTCATCTGCTTGAATACTGGGCATAAACTGAATTTCAGACATTTGAACTAGAAGAATTAACTAAAGGAATTCTTATGGAATTGTTCTGTAAAATAAATCATTTTCAATGATAATAATCATCTGTTAATCTATATTTTTCTTTCAGATATTTCATTATAAGAAGGCAGCATATATTGTGTGTCTTTAAAGAATGATGCTCAAATTGCATCATTTGAGGCAGAAAAATTATATTCAGAAGCATAATATTCCATTTACTCAACTCAAATAGAAACTATGTTAATAACACTCAAATGAATAAAATAAAGCAAGAGTGGGGGAGAATTTGTGTAACCACAGTATCTTGTCACATGTCTTTCTAGTAGAGAAAGAAGAAGAGGAGATAGATACATAGACACACGGGCCTAAAAACTTTAGGCTATTACCTAAACTGAGATAAGAATGTAAGATACACACAATTCTTTGATTTTCAACCAGAACTAAGCCAGAAAGGGAATGAGAGACCTTAAAGTGCACAGAACGCAGGAGTTAGGCAGCCTGGGTTTTGGCCTCTGCTGTATCTCAGCTACTGTGTGGCTCAGGGCAACACACAAGAGATCAATTTCTTTCTTCAATTAAATGAAAGCTTTGAACTAGATTATCTAAATTTCCTTTAACCTCTAAATGTCCGTGATGGAACTTCTACTTTAAAAAGGGGTTGGACCCATCAAAAAGTGGGCAAAGGATATGAATAGACATTTCTCAAAAGAGGACATTCATACAGCCAACAGACACATGAAAAAATGCTCATCATCACTGGCCATCAGAGAAATGCAAATCAAAACCACAATGAGATACCATCTCACACCAGTTAGAATGGCAATCATTAAAAAGTCAGGAAACAACAGGTGCTGGAGAGGATGTGGAGAAATAGGAACACTTTTACACTGTTGCTGGGATTGTAAACTAGTTCAACCATTATGGAAAACAGTATGGCGATTCCTCAAGGATCTAGAACTAGAAGTACTATATGACCCAGCCATCCCATTACTGGGTATATACCCAAAGGATTATAAATCATGCTGCTATAAAGACACATGCACACATATGTTTATTGTGGCACTATTCACAATAGCAAAGACTTGGAATCAACCCAAATGTCCATCAGTGACAGACTGGATTAAGAAAATGTGGCGCCGGGCGCGGTGGCTCAAGCCTGTAATCCCAGCACTTTGGGAGGCCGAGACGGGCGGATCACAAGGTCAGGAGATCGAGACCATCCTGGCTAACACGGTGAAACCCCGTCTCTACTAAAAAATACAAAAAACTAGCCGGGCGAGGTGGCGGGCGCCTGTGGTCCCAGCTACTCCTGAGGCTGAGGCAGGAGAATGGCGTAAACCCGGGAGGCGGAGCTTGCAGTGAGCTGAGATCCGGCCACTGCACTCCAGCCTGGGCGACAGAGCCAGACTCAGTCTCAAAAAAAAAAAAAGAAAATGTGGCACATATACACCATGGAATACTATGCAGCCATAAAAAAGGATGAGTTTGTGTCCTTTGTAGGGACATGGATGCAGCTGGAAACCATCATTCTCAGCAAACTATGGCAAGAACAGAAAACCAAACACCGCATGTTCTCACTCATAGGTGGAAACTGAACGATGAGATCACTTGGACTCAGGAAGGGGAACGTCACACACCGGGGCCTATCACGGGGAGGGGGGAGTGGGGAGGGATTGCATTGGGAGTTATACCTGATGTAAATGACAAGTTGATGGGTGCTGACTAGTTGATGGGTGCAGCACACCAACATGGCACAAGTATACATATGTAACAAACCTGCACGTTATGCACATGTACCCTAGAACTTAAAGTATGATTTAAAAAAAAAAAAGGGGGGGGGTTGGAGAAGCAGTCTCTGAAACAAGCTCTTCTACTTCCTACGTAGACAATCAACATTTAGATATAAAAACATCTTCCTTATCAGAAGAGCTGCCTGCACAAAACTGTTTGGCAAAGGTTATAAGGAAAACAATCGATACAAATTTCACATTTCTGTTTACTTTCTGCCTACTCACTTGGAAAAGCAATAAGATGGAATAAATTCCCACTGATCTAGGGGAAATATAACTAGAATGCCATTTTTTCTAAGTTCCTTTGTTTGGAAATTTTTAAAAGAGTTAAATCAAGTTTCATGGTTTATTAGATATTATTTTCTGTAGTGTTTGAAAATGTTTTGGGGTAAAAAAATGGCATGTGTTTTTAATACCCTGAACATTTTCTTTTTCAAACAAAAGTCGTCATTCTTGTCTCAGTCCCCCTTGTTCTTCTTCCTATTCTGCCCCTTTGCTCAGCTTCATATATAAAAATCATTTTTATAATCTCTATTGGCCTCACGCTGTACCTCCAGGATGCTTTATGTAGTTCCGGGCCTCCAGGATTATATTTCTTATAACACCAATCACTCTTCGTTTTCCTATGGATATTATTTTCTTTGGGCGAAATTACTTTTCCTTTATGTAAAAAAATGTTTTAAGAAAATATTTTCCATATCTGCAAAAAGCATGTAGTTGATGCACTAGTTTTACAGTTCTTAAAGCAACTCCTCAAATATTCAAACTTGTAGGGGAATTAAATAACACTTTTTGTATAGAGGAAAGCATATCAAAGTAGGTTTCTGAAGCTTCTGGAATTGCAATGTTTTAAATTATTTGCCTTTTCTACAAAACTAAACTTGTTTTATCTCATCTTATTTGCATTATCACATCTTTCAGAGGTTTTAAGACATAGTATCATAACCTTAAAGAAAAACATTTGCCTTGTATTTTATTATAGTTCCTTGTTTGACTAAGTCACAAGGACATCATTGTTTAAATTTGCATGCCTCATAAAAATATATATTTGTGTAAATTATACTTACAAAGAATCTCCAGATATATCTCATTAACCACTACACAAATTATAGGTTATAAAAAGGTTACAGTCAGAGAGGCAGAACTACTTCTTAGGAAAGTATGAGATATGGGAAGCTTGTACAATATAATCCTTCCCAAACTTCGCCCGATAATTTTTATCTAACTGATAATTGGTTAAAATGAACATTGGGGTAGTTTTTAGCTTGGATAAATCCTGTTGGGGAAAAAAAAAACACTATATCTATTCATTCTTCGAATATTTATTGAGCTTCTACTACACCAGTCTAAATGCTATGTCCACACATGCATTTGAAGCATGAATGAGAAAAGTGGGAGATTCCTTTGGTAAAGGAGGGAGAAGGAATGCAAGCTAATTCTGAGCACTATGCTCTTTCAGGTCTCTCCTGTCAGCTGACTGAGGTACCTATTTCTTTTAAAATTTTCCCTGCCTCTGATTCACTACCTAGCCATCTACTGCCCCGAGTCACCAGACACCACGTAAGTCCTGAGGATAGATTTGTTTCAAGACTAAGACAAAAAGTATTTCAATAGTGATCCACAGAAAAACCATTTTAATTTCTGTGATAAGAAAAAAAAAAAAAAAACAGGAAATGTGGCACAAGTATGTTTGTTCTGCCCTTCTATAGTAGAAAATTTGTTTACTTTTGCACATGGCAGAACAGGACAGGCTTAACTAAAGAATAAGGGATAGTGAGTTGATTAGGTGATTGGAAACAGGCCTCAGCTTTGCAATTGCACATCAGTGGGCCTTGTATGTTCAAAGCATTCTGCATCTAAAGAAGCAAACGATGCTTTCCATCTGCGATAACAAGGAAATGCCAAAGTTCCAATTTCCTTGACATTTTATTGCATTTACTTTTGTCTAAAATGAGTATATAACATTATCTTATATAAAAGGAAAGCATATCTTGATGATCTTGAGACATATCTTGAAAACCTTCTCTACCAGATATCTACCAGACATGCTAGAAAAAAAATATATATAACAAATAACCCCATTTAAATGCATAGGCAAGTTTGCAGAAACTAAGAGAAATCAAGAAAAAAACAGAGGGAATCCGAAATCGGAGTGATAAACTGATATTTAAAATTTAGCTGAGTTCAGCACTTGCTAATCTCAGGAACCTAGAGATCTGGCTTTTAAGATTTGTTGCAAGCCAGAAAACAAAATCAAAGGCTGTCCTAATGTGAGCCAGGGGCTCTTGAACTGCTATACCTTCAGTGAAAGAGCAGACAGAAAATAAACAAGTCACCTACAAAAATAGATGACAGGGAAACGTGTATTTCAGCATAAAACCAGGTCTGTAATTTAAATTTACCCTATCTGTGTGGTCCAGGAGATCCAAGCTAAGAAAATAACAAAGCAGTCTTGTGTTAGAGGAGTGCCTGGGCTGCCTGACAGAGCCAGTGCAAATCCTCTTCAAAGGGATGTGCCCTTAACCCCATCCTTAGACAATTTCACAGATCAAACAACGTGAAAGTACAAAAGAGCTAATAGACTCATCTCAGTGCAAATTAAACAACTGCGGAGTATCTTCCTTTTTTTTTTTTTTTTTCCAGGAAAAGAACACTTTCCTATGTTAATGTTAGCCCAAATACACGGGAGGAAACAATAAGATTTGGATGAATTCCCCAGAATTTAGTCAGGAAGGGCAATATAATCCACCAAGTGCTCAGGAGAAAGTAGAAACCAAGTAGGACCACTGTTTTTTTCAATTACATGCTGGAGATCTGAAACCTCAGAGCATTTCTGACTTCCTGGAAGGGCCAAGATAATGGATTTAAAGCAGCTACCAAAACGGAACTAAGAATGATTGGGAGTTAGTGACTAAACTATAGCATAACAGGACCATGATTATAATTAAAGACATCTTTAAAGCAAGTCATCTGGATAAATGCAGACAGAATTGGTAAGTAACTTTAACTGCTACTGAGGTTTATTTTGTGCTAACAATAGTGTGAAATGCTCAGTAATCTCTTCCTAATTTTTGTTCTCAGTATATTTGGGGTTCACACAAATCAGAAACCAAAGTTAGATTGTTTCTAATTGGCAGCAAACCAGAGGGGACAGGAGACTGGTCATGTCTCTGAGTTGTCCACTCCAAGATATGGACAATGAGTATATGAAGACAGACAGAGCCACCCTTTGAACAAATGGCAACAACTATATAGTATAAATAGGATGCACTGAAAATAGTAGGCTTATTTCTTAAGCTGTCATCACCAACATTAACCAGTAATTATATTTCTCCACTTTTTGTAGAAGATATAAATGGCAAATTCTGAATTTATAATTTCTAATACTTCATTTTTCTGCTCTTGTGAAGTTCATTTTGAACTCTCAACATGAAAATATTAAATATTTTTAATTGTGCACGTTGGAACTTGTATTACTTTGGACTTACATTGGCTGAAATTGAAATACAGTAAAAGTGCTCCAGAGTAAGCAGATCAGTTCATCAGAACGACAGCCTTTCAACGGAAAGGGCATTCCCAAGCTGCACCAACGAAAGCATAATCGTGTTACCTGCCCTAACCTGACAGCTCTGAATTAGTCTGATCCACCTATGTGCCGTACAAAGCATTATATTGCTCTGATTTCAAAAACTGAACTTGAACTACACCTTTTCAGAGAAACAAACCATGCTTAGAAATCTGCCACAAATATCTATACATTGCTCTTGAATTCCTCCAGGAATTTGCACCTACTCATGCTGTTACTCTTCACTCTATGATTTCTTTGTTTTTCAGTCCCTGTTGACACTTAAATTTTACTCTGTAGGGAGATTCTCATGTTTGACTCCATTAAGCAAGCTTTGAAACACAACTCACACAGGGTGTTACTTCCAGAACCTTCCTGCCAGTTCCTTGCGTCCACACCATGAGAAAGAGCAAACATTCCTAAATCCTCCCAAAAAATCAAATTATTTGGAGTGAGGAAAAGTCTTGACTATGACACTGAAGATTTCCTGAAGAGATCCAGTATCCCAAATGTACTGAGATGGTGAGGAAATTGCACAAGTAGCAACCAGAGAAAATGAGTGCTATCCACAAACAACCCAGATCCTCCCAAACTAAGGCAAACCTGCCCTTTACGTCCTACATTATTGCTACATCTATGCAGCTTCTGACTTTCCAAAGTTTACTTTCCTTTTTTAGTCCCAAACTTATCTCTCAGATTTGATAAATTCAATTTTCTTGGGTTTGAATTTCAATATTACTAAAGACAAGTAAGGTTAATCTTCTGTCTCATTGGGCCCCTAAATATTTTAAGAAACACTCCATTAACCACATTTTGATCTTCTTTACTGCTGTTTTATTCTAGCATTTCTCTACTCCCACCACTCTGTTCCTCTCTCTCTCTCTCACACACACACACACACACGCGCGCGCACACACACACACACACACACAATTGGAGTAAATCCAGGACAAGGACATTCACAATCTTGCCATATTCTGTATTCATTAGACTTCATCTTAAGCACTGTGTTCAATTCAGATTCTGAAGGCACGTTAACCAACTGTAGAACAATGGAGTCCAGGAATGCCCTAGAGGACCGGTTGAAGGAACTACAGAGGTATAACTAGAAAAGATACTTTTTTAGATCCTTCAGTTGTTAAAAGTCCCTAGTAATCTATTACAAACAGAGTGATTTTAATAGTTCTTAACCATTTGCTAACATATGTTTGCAGTGAGGTCCTATGTGTTTGTACTCAGTTCTCTGTCTTTTTTAAAAGGGAATTTTACTTTAGACTATACATTTTCTAAAACTAGAAAAATTATTTTGGAAAAAAAGGTTTGAGTATTACTTTGAAGATTTCATGGAGCTGCTGCTTCCAATCATCTGATCACTTCAGATGGTCTGATAATGTTAGATAAAACCTCTTTATCAGTAATGCACTGGAGTCCTACAGCACTACTTTCCATATTCAACAAAACCTCTCTTTGCATAGATACATGTGTGTAAAAACAGAACATTCATACTGAGGCCAGAGTGCCATCGAAGGTAATTACAGAGACAGTAAAATCCTTTTACGCTGGGAAAAATAAAATGTTAGGTGTCTCATAAAATTTCAGAACCTGATTTCAAACGGATCATAACAAAGAGGAGATCAAATTTAGCATGGTGGACTGCTCGACAGGATATATTTGTAAGTATGAGATTCTATAAAATAGTTGATAAATACAAGACTATTGGTTTGATATAAATGACTAAAGGATGCCGATTTCATTGGTAGAACTTCTGGGAGTGTCAGCAGAAGTTTTTCTAAGGAAAAAAAGCAAACTAACAAACACATATTCCTTTGCCTGGCTTTCTATATTTAAAACAAAACTTACAGTCACTCACTATATAAATGAATCTTTTAAATTGGGCAATAGAGGAAATACTACAGTTTTAAAGTATATTATTTTATTTTAAATATTTTTTGTGTATATTCTCATTTTAAATGTTTTTCATTTTATATGTTTAGATAAAAATATATTACAAAATCAGACATTTATGAATTGTTTCAAAAATCATGCATTACCAAATTATTAGTTTCATCACTTTATTAGCGATACTGAACGCAGGTGTGGATTTTTGTAAGGTTTATCTGAAACATTGTTAATCTTGATTTTATAGAATGTTTTTATTCTTTTATGTTATGCTTAAGTGCAACTATGCACTAATTTCTTGCATTTTTTAAAGGACAAGAAATTTGTGTGCTGTGTAAACAAAGTCTCGCTAAAATGTAAATTGTTCCAAATTTTACTAAATTTTATGTAACATGCTATATCATAAAATAAAGAAACATATTTAAATGCAGATATATGTTAACAGACAGAATTGCTTTTAGAACATGTATTTATTTTCATGATACTTTAAGATTTCATTTAAATAATGGAGGAAACAAATCTATTTCTGGCATACTGCTAATACAACTCAATCCATCACCAATGCATTTATAATCAGTCTGAGAATTCGATTCTATCAGTGAAATGTATTTCTTTTAAATAATTATTAGGAGAAAACAGTGGAGGCAAAATCATCATGGAGACCTAAACTTGTTCTAAACACTCTATGTTTCTATTGTAAAAGTACATGCTAGTTTTACCGAGAGGGTATTGAAAAACAAAAAAGAAAAGCAAATTAATACACAATGTTAAGATAAATATGGATTATTTAAATAAAGAGCAATGGAAAAATACAAATAAAAACCGTAAAGAAATTTTTATAATGTCATGAAATTAAAACAATTTTAGATAAAGAGTTAATAAATAAAAATAGGAACAACCATAATCCAGCATTTCTGAGGTGGAAAAAGTATTTACTTAAAACTTAAGAGTATTTATAGAAATATTTGCCAAATATGCATTCTCCGGGAAGCACACAATAATCTTTTTGTTTTTGTTTGATTTTGTTATTATTTTATTTTTAGGTCAATGGAATGTTTCCACATATTATACCACCAACATGAGAAAAAAATGATCATTGTTTATTTGAAGCTTGGTGAGTTTGTCCACAATTTAATCAGTTCTATGTCAGACCAATTTAGATCACTCTTTCACTGGGAATTCTCTTTTTGCCAAAGTAGATATGTAGTTCTATAAAACATTTAAAGTAAATTTTTATTTTTATCAGTATTGACTACTTGAACTCTAATTTTAAGGGTACAACTAAAGATGCCCTTGGTTGAATTTAACTAACAAAATACATTTATCAATAGGATGTTTTAATCAAATCCTTATCCTAAAGAACTTTACTTTTACAAAAAAATTAGAATGTACCCTTTATGGAATTACCAAGAATATTTCTTAGAAGTTCTCATTTGTAAATGTGAGAGGATTTCATTCTGCCACTCTATATTGGTGCTATTAAACTTTGATTGAGATGTATTATTTAATGATAAATATTGTTGAATGTTGGATTGTAGATACTTCTTTTTAAACCACTGGTTATTTTGCACATTCTTTGTCCTCAGACTGTGAATTATATTTTCTTATTTTGTCAGATGATATTCTAAGGCTGCCTTTTCTCTTCTCATTTTAGAGGTATGAGAATTTTAATTTCTACTTCTGAGCATCTGCCTTCCATCTTCCAAAATTACTTTGGAATATTTTGTCATTATTTTTCCCCTTGTTTAATGTCCTTTTTCCTTCATGTTCAAGCCTTGCATGTTCCTTTGCTATAATATTACTAGTGTTTGGGTTGGAAGAGATAATAAACTCAGGTGGTCAATATGACCTTTTTTACCTGAAGCTGGGTTAAGTATTTGTGAATTTATCTCTTTGTTTCAACGCAGAGAGCATTATAAAGTTGGGGGGTGGGGAGTTCTGTGATATTCCAACACAATGGTGGTACATGGTGCTTGTGAATCCGGCAGTAATCAATAGAGAGAAACACAGACATGCGGATGGACTTTCAGTTCCAGAAATCTTAGAATATAGGCGGGAAGGCACCAGGCTCTGGGCACAGGAGCAGAACTCTAGTCAATGGGACAGCGTCCAGTCTCCAGTCCCATTTCCTAAAGGACAGGAACACCAGAGAAGATCTTATGGTCTATTTATTCTATGCATAACGCATCTCATACACAATTCCGTCACTAAATATTTTTACAATTTAATCATTGATACTTTTGTGACATTATATTCTATTTGTATTCCATAAGTTAATAAATCTGTAAATGTTTGACTTAAAATGTTAACCAACATATAAACAACTACTTATATGTAATTATCAAGTAACATTCGAATGTAACAATTTAGGAAAGTTAAAGTCTAGTAGGAATAGATAAATCAGAAATATAAATAACATTATATCTATATATATTGCTTCTTTTTCAATGTCACCTAACTAATAAGTTGCTTGGACCAAGGAACCCTCACTGAATCAGTTATGTAGCTGAGCCCAGGGCTGCTATTGGTGTACACAGAGTTTTTGCTGGAATTATTTAAAAAGTAGCCTTTCACCACGTGGATGAAGCCCCACTTGGCTGTGAAGCCAAGACTTAGGGGAGTCTGAGTGGATCTCAGCCTTCTCTCTCCTTTTGGATCAGGCATCTCCATAGAGAGAACAACCTGAATAACTGCATTTAAAGGGAAGCTGTGGCTGGGCTGGCCTCTTGCCCCTTTTTTCTCTAACACTCAAGCAAGCCTGAGCTCTTCTGGCAGCCCCAACCCATCAGTGTGATACACACACCCAGATGTCTGTGAATCCCTGTTGTAGACCCAATTAATTCTAAAGCTGGGACTCAGCCACTAATAAAATGTGTGAACAATAGAAATATAGAAACATGGGAACAACAAAAATGAAGAGAAGGAGGATTTGCAGATTATATGTTGACATGTTGAAGAATGAATAAAGTTAGTGGGGAAAACTTGTGAGATCTGAGATGAAATTTTAAAAGAGGAAGAAATGCAGTCTAACAGAATATATGTTTCCTGGTACATACAAAAGAGCTTAGGAACTATTTCCTGAGTAAGAGCATGCAAGTAGCTGAAGGAAAATCGAATATACTGGAACAGAAAATTTTTGCATACATGCAATTTTTTTAAATCTTTACAGTTCCATTTTAGAGAAAAGGAAAAGGAAATGAAAATCTGAGGTTTAATTAATATGCCCAAGGTCACACAGCTTAATAAGAGCCTGACCTCAAGCACATGTCTGTCTGGCTTCAGACCCCAGAACTATTTGAATATACTCTGTCAACTCGCAGGAGCTGTGGGAACCCCCTAAACTCCAGTGCATCCAGAAATTACTTTACCTTCACTATACTTCAGACCTTAGTGAGTATTGCATACTAAGACCATTCTGCTTTTGCCAATTTCATTAAATTTATAAAAGAAAATATGATAACCCATTAATAGACATACATTTGAGTTACAGAAATCACCACAATAAAAGGTCTGAAAATGTGTACACATAGCTCCAATAGATCAAGTGAGAAGACAGTGGGACACAAAAACTATTGTTAAAAATAGACGGTAAGGGAGAGGTCAAGTCTCAGCATAAGACAGGGATGACTAATTATACTTACAGAGAAGACATGTGGAGGAAGTAAATTTTTTCCTATCCTCCTACTTAGAAGATAAGCTGCGAGTCACTGTGTAACTACATTTTATAGGTGATCACAGAGATGAGGAATCTTGCAACTCAAACTAAGTAGCTTGAAATTTGAACTAATGTAGTTCAAGGTACAATTACACACAGGACTAGCTATTGACAGCCAGTCAATGTAACAGTTGTTTAGTCTCAATTAATGTCAGTGTTGATTATTTTCAGTCAGATTTATCTTTCTAGAAAAAGATTTTTATTTTTATCACACTGCTATTTAAAGACCTCAGTGGATTACTTCTACTAACAAAATAGAGTCTAACAGCTTTAGTCTGTTATTTAAGGTCATCTAGAACCTAACTACACACACAAACATATCCCTTTAATAAACTCTCCCTTTTGCTTAAGTCTTGTGAATCTCTATTTGCAATCAGAAGAGTACTAATAAGTGAATTAATCTATTCCCTTTCCATTTTCTTCCTTCCTGTAGATACAAATAACTTTATTGCTCCTTCTTGGTCCTCCTCACTTACAGTAGAGACCTACATAGAAAATGAAGTTAATCAGACCACATTTCCCATATATTCTTATCCCCAAACCTGCAAATGAACTTGAATCTATACCTGTATTTTCACTAGTTACAAGAGAATAGTAACTGTTTCCTGTATTTCCACTTCTCCAATGTCTCAACTCCCACATTCTGAATTCTAGCCCCTCCTCCTTCTTCAGGAACCTGAAATTCTATTGGTTTTCCTTCTTTATTGTGGGTTTTCAACCTCTGTCTATGTACCTTTTGCCAACTTTACAATGTCACTCACATTGTAACTTGACTTATTGTAACAATGCCTCCTAGAGAGACATGCAGACCAGAATGGTCAAATGACAAGAGTCTGCCTCTCTGTCATTATTTACATCTATCAACAGCTTTCAAGAAAGAAAGAAGAAAAGAAAGAAAAGAAAGAAAAGAAAGAAAGAAAGAAAGAAAGAAAGAAAGAAAGAAAGAAAGAAAGAAAGAAAGAAGAAAGGAAAGGAGAGGAGAGGAGAGGGAAAAAGAAAGAAGGAAAAAAAGAAAGAAAGGAAAAGAAAGAAAGAGAAAAGGAAAGGAGAGGGAAAAAGAAAGAAGGAGAGAAAGAGAAAGAAAGAAGGAAAGAAAGAAAAAAAAGAAAGAGAAAAGGAAAGGAGAGGGGAAAAAGAAAGAAGGAAAAAAGAAGGAAAGAAGGAGAGAAAAAGAAAGAAGGAGAGAAAGAAAGAAAGAGAAAGAAAGAAAGGAGGGAGGTAGGGAGGGAGGAAGAAGAGAAAGAGAGAGAAAGAAAGGAAAAGGGAGGGAGGAAGGGAAAGAGGAAAGCAGGGAGGAAGGAGGAGAAGGAAGGAGGGCAAACAGAAATTACAAGCAGCCTTTCATTCATCCTGGGCTTCATTTTTCTCTTGCTTTCCTCCTTCTTGTTTCTGTCCTCCCTGCTCCACTGAAACCACTCTCAGCAAGGTCATTAATGAGCATCTTGTGAACAAATCTGACATTTTTTGATCCTTTGCTCTCTTAATCGCTTCCCAGCTTTTAACACTTCATTGGCCACTCTTTCCTTTTTGATAAACTCATTCCTTGGTTTCCGTGATACTGTGTTATTCTGATGCAAGCTCCTTTTACACAGCCTTTCTCTTAAATGTTTGTGTTCAGAAACTCATACTGGGCTGTCTGCTTTTTACAGTCCACACTCTCTTCCTGGAACATCTCGTCATTTTTTTTGTGGGGCGGGGGGCTCCTCTTATGTGTTTTATGAAAATAACCCACCTTTATCCTGAAGCCAAATCTCTCACCTCAACTTGTTCTCTTTCTGTCTCACCTTCCATATCCAATGGGTCAACATGTTCTAATAGTTCTTCCTCCAAAATGTCTAAAATCTCTCTCCTTCCCTCCATCTCCACTGCCACCTTCCTAATCATCCCTCACCTGAACTCCTGCAGTCACCCCCTAACTGGTCTCCCTGATGACACTCTTGCCACACTGTAATTCATTCTACTCACAAACCCACTTCAAGTCTTAGCATGTCTATTCTGAATTTTAAATCCTGCAATGATTTCCCAGCTTCTTACTGTGAAATCCATGGCCTGTATGGCTTAACATGCTCGGCCTCCGCCTAGCATTACAAATTCTCCCACCACTTTCTTGCTGCAGTGAACATTTTTAAACATGATTATTGGTTCAATCTTAACTCTCTATGCCTCTCAGCTCACTCTCTCACTCTGTCTGCCACACTCTAAATTCATGTGGTAACAAAATTCCTTTTGTTTTTTTTTTCCTTTTGAGACAGGTTCTTTCTTTGTCACCCAGACTGGAGTGCAATGGTGTGATCATGGCACACTGCAGCCTCAACCTTCTGGGCCCAAGCAATCCTCCCACCTCAGCCTCCTGAGTAGCTGGGACTACAAGTGCACACCACCATGCCCAGCTAATTATTTGTTCTTTTTGTTGGAGAGACGGGGTCTCTCTATGCTGCCCAGGCTGGTCTCAAACTCCTGGGCTCAAGAGAGCCTCCCGCCTCAGCCTTGCAAAGTGTTGGGATTACAGGCCTGACCACAGTGCTGAGCCTAAATTCCTTTTATTTCCTCAGTGGGACATAACTCATTGCCTCTTAATCTTTGCTCATGTTGCCCCTCCTTCACTCAGCACACTCGTGCATATCCTGCTGGTTCCAGCTCAGATATTACTTAACTAGGCTGCCTTCACTAACCCCTCAAGTCTAGTTAGGTTCTCCTCCTAGGCGTATTCACAACCCCTGTACTTCCCGTATCCAAGCCCCCATCACATGTTGGGGTTTTTGTTGTTGTTGTTATTTGTTTTTGAGATAGGGTCTCACTCTGTTCCCCAGACTACAGCACAGTGATGCAATCACAGCTTACTACATCCTCCATCTCCTGGGCTCAAGTGATTGCCCCACTACAGCATTCCAAGTAGTTGGGACCACAGGCACGAGTCAACATGACCAGCTAATTTTTTTTTATTTTTTGTAGAGACAGAATCTCACCATGTTTGTCCAGGCTGGTCTAGAACTCCTGGGCTCAAGCAATCCTCCCCCTTCAGCCTCCCAAAGTGATGAGATTACCGGTATCAGCCACTGTGCCTGGCTCATCACATGTATTTTAATTGCTTGTCAGTGAGGACAGGAAGAGGAGAGACAACATGTATATTGATCACAGGCAATCAGAACTTGGCACATAACAAGTACTCAATAGACTTTTGAATGAATCGTAAAGACTGATATAAAAATTCACTGCTTACCCTTAATAATTCATTATATATGTATGCATATATGTTTAGCAAACCATTTCCAGCTTTAAAATGTGTATTTAATAACTCTTAACAAATTTGTTGTTTTTTAAAGTCCTGAGTTAAAAACCTTCTATGACACGTATTGTTATGTAAAGGTGCCCGAGATGAATAAACTCGAACTCAATTTTAAAGTCAAAGTTACTGTGCCCAGAGTAGATAAAACCAGATAAGCAGCACCCTTAAAATTCACTCAGAAGGTGGTTTATTTTTTATTTGACTATTTACACTATTTTACTTGTCCAGTTAAAATGAGGCTCTTTTCCAATACATTGAGAGAGCTTTCTAAAAACAAGAATTGTGGCTGGGCACAGTGGCTCATGCCTACAATCCCAGCAGTTCGGGAAGCTGAAGTGGGCAGGTTGTTTGGACCCAGGAGTTTGAGACCAGCCTGGACAATGTGGTGAAACCCCATCTCTACCAAAAACACACAAAAATTAGCTAGTCATGGTGGCGCATGCCTGTAGTCCCAGCTACTCGAGAGGTTGAGGTGGGAGGGTCACCTAAGACCGGAAATGTCAAGGCTACAGTGAGCCATGATCATGCCACTGCACTCCAGGCTGGGTGACAGAGTGAGACCCTGTCTCAAAAAAATAAAAATAAAAATAAAAATTGTCCCTTTCCTTGGGAGTTGGTGAATTCATTATCAGTAAGCTCTAAATGAAAAGATCTTTTTCAGAGATTGGTATTTTTTAAACTTCATTGTTTGATAAATAGTTAGGCCGGTTGAGTAAAGTCATTTACAAATCTAAGCACATGTATTTTTATAAAATATTTATGAGAGATGAGTCATTTTATTCTCCTCTCTCCTCCCTACTCGCCCAGTGATTGTATTCCATTAACTCCAAGAACCCATCCTTTTTTATGATTTATAATATTGTATATTCCTTAGAAAGTGACTCTAATATATAACTATTTTAAATGACCAAATTATACAAATATATACTGTATTTCCTTAGAAAAATGAGCAGGCGGAATTGTTGGATTTGTAAGGTGTTCAGAGATGAATCTAAGAGGCCCCCTTCAAAGTAAGTAGCATTTAAGTTTCTATGGTAAGTGTAAAGCATATTTATCAGATGATAAATAGGTACATATTTATTAAACTGCTATTGTAACATATTTTGTTCAGAAAGTAAAATTTGCATTTACACATGAGTCATTTCACCAGAAGAGCAGTCATGTGTTACTAAGATTCTTGTTTTCGTTATTCATGGTTTACATGAGAATTCAGCAAGTTAAATGCTTTAGAATCTATTATGAATAGTCTCTGTTCTTTTTAAAGACAAAGAATATTGTTTGTGTTAAAATGAGATTCTTCAATCCAAAATATTTTCTTGGTTCCAACCCTCCACATACGAAGTGCCAGAAAGTTTCATACCTAGATAAAGAAGGTGAGACTGGAAGAGGAATCAAATGTTTACCAAGCTCCCAAGTCTCCTCCTCCACACTTTGCCATAACTCAAAATGCAGCCATTTGGATGAGAACAGTGAAAAGAATAATGCCTGAGAAGAGTAACAGGCCATTGCGTTGGATTTGCTCACCTCAAAGAATTCCCAAGTTGAGAACTCCTGTTAGATGAACCATGAGTGCCTAACCTAGTCCATGTCCAGTCCTCAGTTCTGGCCACACCTTTCTGTATGGTCAGAGCCCCTGGCATGCTTGCTCTTTCACTAAAATACCAAAATGTCCAAAAACGCTTACAAGCTACTGTGTGGCAAGGAGAAGGATGCTGCAACAGTGGGCAGAAGAGATAGTAAGACCCAAAGCTCAGCATTTTAAATGATCAATGAAGGCTACTGCACTGCACAAGTGCATCCAAGTTCAAAGATATAACTTGTTAATTAAGGGACAGCTCTCCTGTCTTCTGATGATTCCCACAGAGGAACACTGTCACAGCTTGCATTTCTTCTATCAGCCTTATAGACTCACCATGAGAAAAGGGGAAGACCAAAAAGATAAAAAAAATCACATTCATGGAAAGCTGCCAGATAACAGTTATTTAATAGGTGCTTGGCATTAATGACCTAATTTAATTTTCAATGTAACACTGTGAGATAGATGTTATTACCTCTATTATATAGATAGTAAAATTAAGGTTTGAAGATTTTAAGTAAGACCAAGGACAATTAAGTAGACCACTGGGATTAGAACCTACGACTGTCAGAGACTCCAAACATTCTTCATTCCTTTGCCTACAACATCATGGTATCTTAAAATGCTTTCATATCTGGTATCCACTGCCCATCTGTCCAGAAGAATGGAGGGGACACAAGGGAGAATTTGTATCAGGAAAAAAGGTGTTTCAAATAATCCTAATAAAGGCACCCAGGTAGCCATAGGCCAGCATTAAAATTGTGAGAGCCTCAGAAAAAAATTATAAGCCAAATGGGGTTCAATCAAAAATGAATTTTATTTCCCATCTTTACCCCGAACCATAATTACTCCAATCATCTCTCCCCATAAATCTCATGAGTCTTAGAGACAAAAGAACTCTCTTACCAACAATTATCAACACTTAATTTTAAGCTAACCCAACACATTGATGACTCTTCACTCGTGTTGTAGATTGTATTCTTCCCAACACATTAATGACTCTTCACTCTTTATTCTTTGTATAGCTTTTATATAGGGAAGATTTTATTCTTCCCTATATAATGATTAGAACGCATGGGCATTCAATAAACCTTACCTAGCTCTTTCCATTTCACTGGATTGAAAAGGTTATTTTAGGTTACTTTTTCTAAAGTTTTAACAAGAGAAAAGAACAATGACTCAGATAGCATTTCATGGAAATGTTTTTTGAAAGCAATCTTAACACAGTACACTGTTAAGCCTCAGTACTGATGCAAGCAGTTCATCCAAAACTGGCAGGATCCATCTGAATTTTTACAAAACAAAAGATATCTGACCTTTTAAGGACTCCCAATATTTTTCCATGTTCTAGGATATTTTTTAATCTCTTTAATCCTCCTTCATTGTGTTAAGAACCTGCTAATGCCGATGGCTGTTCCTGCAGCACTAATTTTTAGGCTGCTAATTTTAGGTATAGCCAATGGACCGTGCTTGCATGTGTCTATAGCCATCCTCAATTATCTAGTTGTTGAAAGTAGAACAATTAAGAATGCACCATAAACTGAATGGCAATAAACACATTGGCTATTTCTGTTTTATTTCCAACTTTCATTGTAAGTTCAGGGGCACATGTGCAGGATGTGCAGGTTTGTTACATAGGTAAATGTCTGCCATGATGGTTTGCTGCACAGATCATCCCATCACACAGGTAGTAAGCCCAGCATCCAATAGCTATTATTCCTGATGCTCTTCCTCCTCCCACGCCCCCACCCTACAACAGGCCCCAGTGTGTGTTGTTCTCCCCCATGTGTCCATAAGTTCTCATCATTCAGCTCCCACTTGTAAGTGAGAACAGGCAGTATTCGGTTTTCTGTTCCTGCATTAGTTTGCTGAGGATATGGCCTTCCAGCTCCATTCATGTCCCTGCAAAGGACATGATATTGTTTCTTTTTATGGCTGCATAGTATTCCATGGTGTATAAAGTTATTTGTATTTGAGAATACAGTCATTTGCCAATTCACCTCATGAAGCTCACCAAAATGAACAGAATTCTGGAATCTTTCACAACTGTTTTCTAAATGGTAAATGGCTTTGTTTATACTGTTTAGGTCAAATGCAACTTGACATAATACACTTTAATAAAAATCAAAACTGATACAAAAAAAATCTAGCAAATAGGAGACTGAGAAAATAGTAGCTTTAGGGTTACTAACTGTATTATGTGAGTGCATGCAAATAGGTTTTGCGGATTAACTCTAAGATTCTAATAGATAAATAGGTAAACACTTGGTTGGTGGCAGCAGCAAACAGTGCATAACCCTTTTAAAAGCAATTTGGCAGTCTGTACCAAAAACCTTAAAAATTTGCCTCTTAACCAGCTTTGATTCTACTTCTGCTAGTGTCCTGGAATTACTCTAATCATGTGGCTATGGCAAGCCTTAAACACAGCTGGGCTACATTTGAGTTTTAATGGTGAAAAATGAGAGAAAATCAATATGCTGTTTGAGAATAATTATGAATACACTATGGAATGCCCCCCTTGTAGCCTATTTTGCCATCACCATAAACAATATGACTATCAATGATTATACATTTGTAATTATAAATTATAACACTACAAATGATTAAGACAATTATGATGACATAAAATGCATAAAGTATACACCCACATAATGTGATTACTTCTTGATTAAAAACACACAAATACAAACATAACAAAAAGACTTTAAAAAACTACATCAAAATACTAATAGTGGTAATTTATTAATAAAGAGATTATAGGACTATGGTTCTGTATAGTATTTATTAAATTATATTTTCAAGTCTATACTATTTGCATAATTTTTATAATTTTAAAAATTTAAATAGTAAAAATAAAATGTAAAATATCACAGGAAGACAACTTGCCAACGAAAACCACACACAAACGGAATGTAAATATGTTTTGGTGTCATTTTCAAGATAATATAATTTTACTTAGTTCAACAAAAACCTTGAGAATATTTAGCCCAATCAGTGCTTTTTGTTTCTTTTCAAAGCCTTACTTTGGAGGAAGTGTTACAGTGGGCCCAGTCTTTTGAAAATTTAATGGCTACAAAATGTGAGTATTGTGTATCTGTCATCTTTGAATAACTAGCGAGTTCCATTCTTAGAGGTAAAGGTGGGGGTGCCAGATGATGGATGTATGCTATTCTTCTCACAGCCTTCTAACTGGCAACTGATACAGTTAAAAAAAGAAAACCTGAAAATAGTTTGTTGTGTCAACCACTATTATTTTCTCTGGTGTTAATTAAAACAAGATTAGTCACTGTGAATATTTATTCTTCACAAGTATATGCACAAAATCCCTTGGAAAATATGCTTAAATAGTAACACATACCATAGCCTTCTAAAGTTAGTATTAAACCAAAAACTTACCTCGCTGTTCTTGCTGCCTTCAAAAGTAAGAACAAATTTGAGTCTTGATGTTCTAAAACTTCTCCCCAAAGTTTGTTTCAACTTTTTCAGTGTCTGATTTAAGTGGGACTGTACATGGGTCTGTATATAGTTGTTGGTAAGTATCAACATTAACATGGTATAAATAAGAGATATCAGCAATGGATGTGAAAGACATAAAGTCATGGGCTCAGTGCAGGAAAAATAAAGGAGGACGTGCATTCAAGAGAATAGTCAGTTGCGTTTGGGGTCAGAAAAGCTGACAGGTTGTAGAAAATGATAAAGCCAGAAGACAGGTACAGAAAAAAATGTAGGGTGCAGTCACAGAAAATTCTCCTGTTGAATTTGGTATTTTTTTTAAATGGAGTTGGTTCCCCTCAATGCTTGTTAATTTTTGCCTATAGACCCATCTTTTTATTTAAGATCCCATTTTAGCCTCTCTGTGAATGTTTTATCTGTTTAGAGCGATAGACTATAAAGGAGAGTTAGCTGTGCTACTTACATGCTTTAACTAGTGGGGGTACCAGTAGCTATTCTGGGCTAGGTACCTCCTATTCCTCACAGAGGTTGCCATACTCCCGAGGCACTACCTGCTCTTTCTGACTCAAGACCCTCTTTAGTATGGACTCAGTTGTCACTGCCCAGCCCAGAAGGTAATGGCAGTAGGTGTAGATACTTGGCTACTCCTGCTGAAACACGTTAATCAACAATTCTGGCACTTACTTCTGCCCCATCCCTAGGGCTGGATCTACCTCTACAGGCTTGGGTCACCACCTGAGCTCTCATCTTTTGTAGCACGCCTTTCCAATGGGCATTTGGGGCCATAGTTTCTTCCTTTGATGCTATCACCACTGCCTTTCACTTTTCAGGTATTCCTCATAGCTTATAATCCAATTTGCCAGCATGAATGTGAATTTTAAACAAATATATTCTGGGTCAATTTTAGAACATTGAAATGGGATGAAGAGGCAAAAGTATATATTCAGTTAACTATATTGTAAATTTTTGTCCTAATCCTCTGTAACACACATTTTGCCACCTTGCTAGATTGATCTCTTTCTTGGAGTTTCATACTCTTCATCTACAAAATGGGAATGATATCACTTATCCTTTCAGTTTTATTGTGCAGGTAAGATATAAAACATCTAGCTCAATGCCTAATAGGCACACAATAATTGGTAATTTCTTTTAATAGTAATAAAGTACATGTCTTTGAATATCATTCTTTTTCTCTCTGCTGCCTACCAACAAGTCCAAAATCTTGGTATTTAATACTCTCTACACCCTAACCCAAAACATTTCCTAAAATTTGTCTCTAGCTATGCCTCATCACATAACATGCACTCCACCAATGTGACTGTCACTTCGTTTTCTACTTGTACATCTATGATTCTTCTGATCCAGGCTTTTGTTCAAAGTCCTTTTCATCTCTAGTTACTCTGCTCATCTTTGAAAGTTAAATTCAAGTGCCACTTTCTCCAGAAAACTGTTTAGAAATTTTTACTTTATCTTCTATTTTGATAGTATTAACATTTAGTCTGCTTTTCACTGTAGCTAGTTAGTGTATTGGGTTTTCTATATAATGACTTTCTCCCTAGATTATAAATTCCTTAAGAGCACAGCTTGCCTCTCATTTACCTTTCAAACCCCTGAGAGACTGAAAATGTGTTTTGTGCCCAATGAGCATGCAATAAATGTTCCATGAATAAATACAAGAAAAATATTAGTGAGAAAAGATCAAAACACCAAGCTATATTATGTAAGTTTCTGTGCCAGTTCTGGAAGCCTCATAAACAAAGTGAATAGGCTTAATTATTTGGCAAGGATTTCAAGTGGTCATCTGCCTTGCTAGAATCAGCAATTTAGAAAGCTACTGTCATGAGAATAAGCAAAGGCTCTAGCAAAGATGAGGATAGGAAAACATCATAGTGCTCTTTATAAAAGCCAGCAAAAATAGGGTAAGAGCCTTTACAGAAATCATATTACAATGAAGTTCATGTAAAAATTCAATAATCACATAAGTAATAAAACAAATCATTCTATGGATCATCCAACCAGTAAGACAAAACTAAAAATATAAATATTAAATGTGCCAGAGAATAAAAATGTGTTGACATTAACCAAGAACATTAGTGAAATGCATGCTCTAGCTGAGATATGCAGATACATATTTTTACACAGATTAAAACATTATTTTTAACAACATGTAGCTCAGACACACACACGAAAAAGAAATATATCAGCCTGGGTCTCAATAGATGAACCGAAATTGGTTTAGAGATGTTTTGGGGAGCCATTAAGTCATAGCGATCAAAATACAATTAAATTCAACATCTTAGTGGGCAAAGGGGATCCAAGAAAACCATCAGCTTGAGAACAGAACTCTGGCAAACTCCAAAAGTTAATTAGAAATTAAGAATGTTAGCAACTTAGACACCTTTTAGATATGCTATTTAATGCTACATTATTCACGAATACTTTTTTAAATATCAAAGATTTTTTTGTTATTTATATATTTAAATACCAAAGATTTTTTGTTATTTATATATTAAAAAATCAAAGATTTTCTTGTTATTTATATGAAATATAATGTACTCAAATAGAACTAAAGTAGAGAGACTAGCTAGAAGGCTGCTGCAATAATTCAGGTAAAATTGGAACTCAGTGGGGAAGACAAGGCTGGGGGTAATTTGCATATAAATGCTAACAAAAGTCGTAGGGTTATGAGACCACTGAGAGGGAGAGTTCAGATAGAGGAAAACACACCCCAAGATGAAACTTAGTTGTGTGCTACTTCCAAGTGCAGATAACCAGAGAGGTCAGCAAAGTGGATGGAAAAGGAGCACAAAGTGAGATAAGAATGATCAAAATAGTGTGTTCTTGTGGAAGCCAAAGAAGAGAGTATTTCAGGAAGGAAGCTGTGAATTATCAAAGACTGCTGAGAAGTCAGCTGAGGTGAGGAAGGAACAGTGACCACTAGACATGGCAATATGGAAGTCAACAGTGCCTCAACAAGAGCAGTTTCATGGGTATGGTGGAGACAGGCAGAACCAGAGGAAGTGATACACGGCATAGGGAATCATTGACGTAAGTTTTGCTGTGGAGTTCTGCAGAGAAAAAAAGCATTGACTGGAAGCAAGAATGAGGTCAATACCGGAAGTTTGAGTCAATAGTTGTTACTAGTTATATTTGGGAAATACAGCAATATATTTGTAGGATGATGGCAACCATTCACGGGGAAGAAACTGATGACATAGAATAGAGTGGAGATATTTATAAGAATAATAGAGGAGCCGGGCGCGGTGGCTCACGCCTGTAATCCCAGCACTTTGGGAGGCCGAGGCGGGCGGATCACAAGGTCAGGAGATCGAGACCACGGTGAAACCCCGTCTCTACTAAAAATACAAAAAATTAGCCGGGCGCGGTTGTGGGCGCCTGTAGTCCCAGCTACTCGGGAGGCTGAGGCAGGAGAATGGCGTGAACCCGGGAGGCGGAGCTTGCAGTGAGCCGAGATCGCGCCACTGCACTCCAGCCTGGGCGACAGAGCGAGACTCCGTCTCAAAAAAAAAAAAAAGAATAATAGAGGAATGCAAAGTGATGGAAAAAGCAAAAGTAGGAGAGAACCAGAAAAAACTTGTTTGGCCGTCCCAAAAAGGAACAGGGACACTTGCCTCTCAGGAGGGAGGTTATAAAGGAGGAGTACAGATGGAAGTACTCTGGTTATTTCTGCAGAGAAGACAGTGAATATCCATCTGATTAATCTGTGCTCTCAGTGAAGTTTGAGGCAAGGTCTCCAGTAGATTGCTCAATTGCTCAGGAGAAGATGTGTTAGTATATTTTAACATAACAAGGAAGAAGGCATGAAATAGTTTCTGCAGATTTAGAGAACCATGATACTGTGGAAGGCTCATTGGAGGACCGGGCAGTGTTGAGTGTCTGTCTAAAATCTGAAGTTATGATTTCAAATATGAGACCACAGTCGTATATTTTTCTCTGGCTTGTTCAGGTTGCCCCAGTATACATACAGAGCAGATGTTAAGTCATTCCGGATAAGCAAGTGCTCTGAATCACAATGCTTTAATCTTTTGATCAAAATCATCTTGGAATGTACTATTTTCCACCCTTTCTAAATTATCACAGTCTCATGCAGACCACCTTAGAAATGCCAGTTAAACAGTGTGGGATTGTCATACTGCTGAAGGCAATGAAGGCTGCCCTGTATCATGAACCATATGAAGGGCTGGTGCATCTTCATCAGCATCATGGCACAAAGCAGGCAGTAGAAGTTACTGACGGTTACTGCTGCTCCCTTTTGTACATCCTGATTCCAAAAGCAGAGTCATTCTCTCAGCTTTTTTCATCTGTGCAAGCTCCTTTGCTACACAGTGTGATTGGCAGTTTCCTACACTATCACTTATTCTAATCTCTGCTAACTACTGCTGTTGCCATGTTTCCCTTCATCAACCCTTATATTACCTGCACTGCCTTGCCTCTACCATTTCCACTTAGCACTTTTTGTCCTCTTTAACTTCTCGTGCACTTCTTCACCTTGCAAAGTGGGGGGGGGGGGGTGCGGGAACCTGGCCTGGTATAGACATCACTGTCCAATTAGTACTTTTTTTTTTTGGTATTTCTTTCAGAATTTCAGAAAACCAAAAAGTAATA